TGTAGGAGGCTTAAAAAAAGACAACAGTAGGTAGTGCCTAGCTAAGGTAATGAAGTATTTCCTGTTATAACATGTCATGTGTCTCTGAAGTCTCACCAGTCAAGCTGTGATTGTTACAGAATATCTTAAACTAAGAGGGTGGCAGAATAAGTGAAAACTTTAATGAAATTTAATCAATTGTGATATTGTTTTCCTTGGTGAGGGTAGCATGATTCTTACCACCGTTGGCAATAGCTAGCCATGGGAATTTTTCATGTTTTCTAATTATTAGTACTATTTTGTACTGTTAATGAGTACGAAGTGTCTGATTGATGGCCACAGGATTAAGCATACACTTAAGGGCTTAGCAGAAGCTGGGTCCTTAAATGACCCTTCTGTATTTCCTTTGTCATGGCACTAAACCTGCTGCGCCTCTTGAACTTTATCTGAGTAAGTGCTGCATACTGTATTTATATCAGACACATTTCTTTGTTTGCATTTTGGCTTTATGAAATGTCAGAATCAATCTTATACTAATGAAATGTCCAAATTTCATCTCAGCTATGAACATAGCTGCTAATCCTATAAGATGTTTACTTTCTGCCTCTCTGGCTATGTATAGTAACAGAGAGCCTGCCAACTTAAGCACTGCTGACAAACGTCTCCCTACTGCTCGTCAGTCTAATAAATGTTCTTTCATTGAGTAAAGATTTAAAATTAATTAATTAAATGTCATTAAAATCCTTTGCAACCTTTGACAAGTTTGCTCTTACTGCAGGCCAGTAAAAGTAGTGATCTGAATACTGCATGTGTCCCCGGAATCCCACCCAATTCAGTAATTTTTGTGTTTTAATCTTACAGTTTTTCAATGTTAATCATTGTGGAATACAGCTTTTGATGGTTGTGGCTGTGTTTTGGAGGGACAAAGTAGAGAGAAAGGTAGGCTGTTCCAAGGGAGGCTGTTCCAAGGGATGCCAAACCGACAGGAAAAATGTGAGCCAAAGGCCAGAGTCCAACTTCCCTAGCAAATCATAAAGAGTGTAGCTACAAACCTCCCAAACCTTTCTTAAAAATCAATCTTAAAATTTGCAAAGTGGGAGCTATGTAATTGTCAGCATGAAATGTCAGGCTGCTTTCCTTGTTGAAGGCTGTGGTCAAACAGTTCACAGGCAGACTGTCCAGGCAGAGGAGCGTGGCCGTGTTTGTGTATGTGGCGACATTTTTTACATTTAGTTTCTAAGCCTTAGGCCCTGATTTTCCACATCCATGCATTCCGAGTAGCCCTTGGCACCTATGCAAACACACTAGGAGCCTGCTCAGGCGGAATGGTGTGTTTATTTGCACTGGCATAGTGCCTAAGGAATTACCCAGGAATAGGGCCCTGGTGTGCTGACCACCATAGGAAAAAAAAGATCTCAGCAAATGTTTCTCAGACTTCTGATACCCAGGGAACACTTTATTTTAGATGGGAATTGCTAGGCAGATGACGAACGTGGCCAAGCAGCCCTTACCCTGTGCTGCAGTCCTGTGAACGATCATTAGTGGTTGAACAGGCAGAGCACACAGCCATCTTGCAAAATTTCCTGTGCAAATCATTTGGGAATCACTGAAAATTTTTTTCCCCCACATTATGGAGCAAGCTGATAAGGGAAAGGAGGTAACACCCACAGGGACATTGTGGGAATATGATTTGGTGCCTCTCTTGTTCTGGCGTAGATGAGCAGAAAAGCTCAGAAGCAGCAGCCACTGCCTGCCTCGGTAGCTCTGACTGATGCTGCACAGCTATCGGCTGTGAGAATGGGAGATCCATTTTCAGATGCTTTCTGGAAGCATTACTGCTCTCACAGCACTACTGATGGACAGCAGCCAGCCAGGAACTATGTGATTTTGGCAGTTTAGAACCAGATCTTATAGCACTAAGATCCGACATGGAACCTGGATGTCTTACTCTATTTCTGCATTTATTTAGGCAGCACCACTGATACAGCAAAGGAAGTACAAATACAGTTTGAATTTTCTCGAATCAGAGGATCTTTCCCTCAGAAACCAACCTCTGGTGTGGCCAGTGGAGACCCTGTTGATTCACCTTCCTTAAACAAATTGATCAGGACTTACAGTATTAATATCTTCCTTGTTCCAGGGTGAACAAGGCCTGCTGTTGTAGGTGACCTGCCATTGCCTCTCGTGTTCAGAAACAGGAGCCTAGCTTTTAAAAAACATAAATGAGATTTATTTCTAGTGTATGTACGTAGTTATCAGAAAACATGAAAACCAGCAGCCCATAGGCCTCTGTTCTTAAGAATTAGTTGGGTTTTCCTCTTGTAATAGACTTGTCCTCATCTGATTCTCACCTTGTTCACTTTACAGTGTCTTATTTTGGTATCTGTGAAGGATTTATCATAAAATCCATGTTACAGCATGGCAGAGGAGTACAGATTAAATAAATGATGTTTCCTATGATGACATGGGACCAAACATGCCTTTCTAGCTCTACTGTGCAGGACTCTACAAAACTTGTAGAACTAGACTCACACCTCTGGAAGTCCCAGGCAGAAAGGTGTCATCCCTAAACGTCTGATTGAGAACCATTTTCTGTTTAGTGTTTTTAACCTCCTTCTGTTTAGTTCCTGCTCTGCCACTTAATGTAATGCCTGTTTATTGCAGACTGCTTTTAGTTTAGTCCTTTTAAAAGCTCCCTGAGGCACAGTGATGCCTAGAAATTAATGTATTCCCTTCCCGCACATCAAGCAGATGTGTGTATATTGAGTTAGTGTCTCTAACGTTTAGCTGATTTCTTTTCAGACCATAGTTGAATCACTGCTACATACCAAACCCATTTGTGGCCTTTCCTCCTTAAACTATTGGGATATGTAGATTTATAGACACAATATTTTTATCTTTACTTGCAAAGCGCTTGTGTGACTTGCAGGTTTTTACAAAATCACCCCTACACTATGGGGCAGCATAGTTCTCCAGTTGTTGAATGTGGCTGCATTCAACAGGAGCACTCGTAAGGCACTCGTGGCATTCCAAGACTTTGAAGTGGTTGTCTTTGTCATCTTGCCCACCTGTCTTTTTCTTACTGGTTGGAGCAGAAGTTGTCTTTGAAGAGGTTACTACTGGTTGAAAAGCTGAGGACTTCGGTTAACACGGTAGGCAAAAGCATCCTTGCCAAGGAATTAACATGTATTCCAGCTAACTGTACAGCCAGGTTAGAGTAACTCCTGCTTCTCCTTCTCTAAAGTGAAAGAAAATCCTCTCCTAATGTTGATGCTACACAAAGCCATGATTGTTGCTTCTCAGCTATGATTGAGGACACTCATTTTACCTGTAAATAGCAATGCATTATTTTCCATCAGAAAATGGTGGTATCTCTCCACGTACCTGCAAATCTTTGCATTGTATCCCCTCTTGCTGAGATAGTCAGCAGAAATAACTCTTCGGAAGACCATCAGTCCTGTCCGACTTTTTCTACCCTCATCATAAAGAAAAGTGCCATCACACTCAGAATGAAAAATGCCAACTTCACGTTGCAATGTTTATCAAGGTAAGACATCGTAAGGATGATTGCCTGGGAATCCTCCCAGCCCTGTAAGGTAGACAGAGTACCCTTCCCACTGTACTAAAAAGACTTAGCTGTTAAGTGAAGTCTTTTAAAAATATAAATTTATTTTAAGCACGTGAAACATCAGGATAGGCACAATTATAAACACAGAAACATTAAACATGGCAATGAACTTGCAGCCAGACAATGCAAACAGTAACTTACGAGGCAGAGGTTACCATTTCACATGTGAAACCTGCTGAGAAGTGGTTATTTTTGATACTAGACATTATAGACTTTGCTCATCTCAGTGTTGTCATTCTGCCTATCATTCCACCCCTTTCAAGTTTTTATTTAGAAGTTACTTGCGTAAATGCCTATCTATATTAAATACTGTATAAAGTGCATTCAGAAGAAGCATGGAAAAAGGTGAAGGCCCAATTTCCAGTGCACTAGAACATACAAATATACTCAAATCATCGATGAGACAGAGCTTGGTTTTGAATCAAACTCTAAGAACATACTGAGTAATGGCACAGTAATGCAAACGTGGTTTCTAGGAGACAACTTTAGAGTAGACACTACCTACTAGAACTATGGCTTGACAGCATATTTGCCTTTTAAGTTTTGCAGAGCAAGGTCACATTCCTCTGTCGATAATTACTAGAATAAAAACATGCTGAAGTTTGAAATGTTCCTCCTAATGTGATCCTGAACAGTTGTTACTGTAAACAACATTCTATTTATTTTGAAATAGTCCATTAATTCTTCGGTCTCATTGTCTGCATTTTCCTGTAGACTGTGAGCTGCTATCTTGGAATTGCAATTAGTTTTTTGTTGTTAGAAGTGCAGCCATTTCCATCTTTAACTAGCCTTTAGGCCTAAAGCTGTTTCTGTTAGCATCAGTGCATCAGCATGTCTTGTTCAGAAGCTTTGGCTTTATAGTTCACAAGTAGTTAAGGGAAATCTAAGGACAGCTAAAAGAAAACACCAGCTTCAACTCTCAGCTTCTTGTAGCTCGTTTGTGTCTCTCAGAAACTTGAGAAAGGCTAAGGGATATTGCCAATTAAAACACTCTGGCATCATTTTTTTCCCTTAAGACATGTTGAGGACGTAGAGGGATTGAGCAGCACCAAAAACTCTACTTGTTTTTAGACAAGTGGGCTCCTCAGTCTCCTTTCTGAGAGGTCAGTGCAGTGCTGGAGCCTCTTAGCACATCTGTTACTTTTGTGGAAGCATGAACTTAGTTCCGACAGTGAACATGTTCCCAGTATTGTGATACAGACATCAAGGACAGAATAGTTACAGTGTTTTTTCCCTTACACTCAAACAGGAATAACTCCTCCTGATCTGAAAGTAAAAAAAGAAAATTTTTTTTTTTTTTTAATTTTAACTGCCATCTCTATTTTATATCCATTGTGCTTATGAATAGCTAGGGAAAAAAATCCTGTAGAATTCAAAAGGTGTATTCTTTAACTCAGTCATCCTTTTTGTCAGAGGTACTTGAGTTATTCTCTTCATTGCCTTCAGGACAGACTTTATTTCTTGCAATTGGTGTTGTTTCTGAGACTGGGATTGTATTCTTTCTAACTGGACTGTGTTTGACTTCAGGTGACTCAATGTCATCCTCCTCCAACATATCTAACTGGTATCTCTGTAGCTCTAGGTACGTAGTAAACAACTTGGCATATTCTGGATGCTTGAGTGCAAAGTCCTTGAACTCATCTGAAAAATATAAAAAATACAGATACTATAGCGCAGCAACAGAATCAAAAAAAATTTCAGTGCCTGCTCCTTTTACTGAGGCTGATCTCCAGTTACTTTCTTCTGAAGCATCTCAGGCAAATCACACAAAGTATCTAGATCTGTGCTCCAGCAGTTTTCCCCAGAAACAGGGTATGAGAACCATCAGATAATTTCAGGGAGGAAAAAGGTAGGAAGCTCTTACTGTCAATATGACTATCGGAGTGCTCTTCATTACAGGAGGGCGTAACTTACCATAGGACAGCTTCCCGGTTTCATCTGCATCTATTTCTTTAAAGAGCATAGAAACATCAAGCTCAGGCACCCCCAGAGCTGACTGAATGATACAGGCAAACTCATCGGCCGTTATAGTGCCATCCTCATCCATGTCAAAGAGCTGGAAAAGACATTATGTGTAGAAATACTTTAGTGTCAGTTTGCCCATGAACCTTCTGTTCTTAGCTTGCTAGCGTTCAAGAGGTGATCTGCAGACAATGCCTGGGATTTGAAGAGACTGGTTGCATCTCAGCTACTTTCTCTTGCAAAAAATTGTAGGGTTTTTTTTTTCTGGAATAAGACGAAGCAGACACTTTGCAAAGCAATGTACATGCTACAGCTGAGATTAGAATATTCTCTAATAAGAAAAGTATGTAGCAAATCTGCAATAACAAACAAACGTCACAGCACTAGTTCACAAAACTGATGAAAACAAAACATAAACAAAGGTTTATGTTTATTGTTACCATCAGCTATGCTGAGGGTCTACTGGATTCAGCCACTGTATACTGGAATATCTTAGGTTTTAGTCTTTGTTTTCATTAACTTATGGCACATCTGCCATCAGATTAAACTTGCCATAGTTTATGCTCTGACATAAAATACCTAAATTTTAGAATATGTGATCTGTCACCCACTAAGGAATTTTTGTAATTAACAAGGAATTTTGGTGACTGGAACATAGGCACACTGATCATCCCATCCTTCCTAGTGCAGTGACAGTAAGCATCTGCTATGAATTAACTCCTGGAGAAATACAAGGGATGGCTGGCTGCAATTCTTAATGTTTGCTACAGGCAAACTTTCCCATTGCAAAGGAAAGGACATTTAGTGGCAGAGAAAACAAGTAGCAAAAGGAAACTCATAGTTCCATTTCTTTTTAGGCTTTTACCAGCTGAACTAGTCATTTCCCACTGAAACTGGGAATTAAAACAAATTACTAATTTTATAATCCGTGCCACTGTTAAGATACTGCAGAGTATAGTCTAGAAAACAAAACAATGAAACAGCAACAATAGCTGCTAGGCTTGCTTCTTCATAGGAATCTGTCGTGATAAAACATCCCTGAAAAAGCACCAATCACTTTGAACAGCTGTGGCGCTTGTCTGTAAAGCAGCCAAGTGGATGTAACAGATTGCTATTAAAATTCTGGTGCTTCCTGAGCATGCATCAATACTAAAAAGTATCCAATTTAAGATTAACATGATCTATATCTCAATATATTGTTCAGTATGGTTCATAAGAACAGATTAGCTGGTAAAATAACCGAATCTGTGTCAAAGATCTACTTAAAAAGAAGCCACTCAAGCATTTTCCTAGTCAGAGATTCACAACCTGGGCATCTCTGGTCACATTGCCTGCTTGCACCTGAGATCTGAAAGCAGCTACTGCTCCTTGACTGCTTGTACTATCAGGACACCACAGTACAAGCCAATAGATGATGTTAGATGCAGCCCAATTTTGGATGTGTCTGTCCTGAAGACCCTTCTTGATTTCTTTCTCCTCCTCTTTTTTAACAACAGTGACTCTACTGAGCTCTTGACCCACAAGAGGATATTGCTCCATCTGTTGTCTACTTGTGACATTGAGAATCACAGCAGAAAAAACCTCAGGCAAAAAAACTGCAAGTGCTGCTGAATCATTTTTGGAGTTAGCCTGCCAAGTTACATATTCATTAGTGCTTTCACATGGTCTTTGCAACCCTTTTCTATGAAGCTGATGCCTGCCTCCCCCCTCCCCTTCACACTCGAAATGTCAATTGGTTTAAGAGTATTACTCACATTTGCATAACAGATTGAAGCTATAAACTTATGATTTGGAAGCTAACAGATTTACAGTCAGTCTTGATTTGTCAGGTTGGTAGATTTACACTAAATTGAACTTACCTTAAATGCCATACGAATAGTCTCTTCGGTGTTGGCCGGGTTACAAAGAATAGACAAACCAATGACATATTCTCTGAAGTCGATGGTGCCATCTCCATTCTGTAACCAAGATATGCATGGCAGTGTTACAGCTGATATTGCAAATCACTTTAAAAGCTGTTGCATAAATCAATTATACAACATGCACTAAGACACTTCACAACACTAAAAGTATTTGTTCTTCTTGGAAAAAATACAAACAGCTTCCTAAATATATGTAGCAACAGGGCTGAAGTAGCAATACACATGTTTTCAATACTAGAAATCAGGTGTTAATTTCTACCTTATAAACACCCAAACAAAAAAGATTTAAAACAACTTTAAAAAGTTTTTCTTTAGTGTATGACCTGCAAGAAGCCGCTAACAAGAACTGGGATACATGTGTTTAAGGTAACTGGCAATTGCTGAATTTCAGAGACCAATGCAACATCCTAGAATAAACAGGTCAACAGTGAGGCTCTTGCCCAGAGTTAATTCTTGCTGAGAACCTTCAGCAATAAAATATATGCCAGCACAAGTACAGCCTGTTGATGCAGTAAATCCTGCTGCTAAAGAGCGGAACATGGATCTTGCAAGTGGAGAAATGCTAAGGCTGCTCTGTAGAGTGCTTTGAAACTCTGGGGTTCTACAAAAGAGGGATTTCTGTTGTTGAATTCAGGTTTTAAGAGTCCTTGATGAACAAAATATGTGTAATAATGTGTTCATTACTAACTTTATCAAGTTATACATTTGACACAATTTAAAACTCCGAAGATACACTTTTATTTAGCCTTCAAAACCAATTCAGGACTGTTTTGCACAGACAACTGTTATTTCTTTGTCTTGATGATCTGACAAATCTTTTTTGAAGACATGTAACCTTTGAGCGTATTGTACTTTAAAGACCTGTGAATTTTAGGGAAACTTTTTAGCAAAAATATGAAGAGTCTTTAAGTTACTGTGATGTGTGTCTAAGGGATATAAATCTTGACAGTTTTTAATAATTAGAAAAGGACAATGTTCACTCATAAATGCTGTTTTATTTACAAATCTGTGCTCTCATTGTGCTGCAGAGTTTGACTTTAAATATTTTCGCTACATCATAGTTCTTGTAATAGAGATAAGAAATCTAACTTTAAAATATATCATTATAAACCTAAACTCTTAAAACAACTGAAGCAATAGTGTAGATAATTGTTGAAAGTTCAATGGAATATTACTTTTGGACAGTTTTATAGACTGTATTCTTAGCAAAGGATTGTTTGATGCGATTTGAATGTTTTTTCTTTCATTTTTAAAGTTAAGAATATGTATCCCAGGGAAAGAACTGGGAAGTAAAATAGTCTCATTAGAAAACAACTTCTGAAATACGTTAACACAGCTGTGGCTGCACATGGGAAAATGACAAGAGCTAATAAGGGCCATATTACTTTGATTAAAGTGCTAAAACCCAGTAATCAAAACTGAGTGCAATCGGATACACAGAACTCCAGTCATTGGAGTAGGAAATAAACTTACTATACTTGCAAGATCATGTTGTGACTAGCTCTGCTAAACCCAGGATGCTGGCTAACACCCAAACACTCTGGCATTTTGGTTAAGGAGAAATGATAGGGTTGTTGCCTGGAAAAGGAGATGGGAGTTAAACTGAAAATGCAGGAAAACCTTTAATGCTTGTGTAGCACCACTGCAAACAAGCACTTACACTAGTCTTCCTACACATATCTAGCTGTGTTGGCAGCCTGTGCAGCCAAGAATATTTTAAGGAAGCAACATGTGAGCTGAGCTTTAATTCTCTAAATAGCAAAGTAGAACATCAATATTTAGATATTTGTATTTATGTTAAAATAATCAAAACATAGGGTAACCTCAACAGCCCTTGTTTTCTTTAAGGAAACTAGTTTTCTGCTACTATTTTCACTGCAGCATGCTATGGTAACTAGGGTTTTGTTGTCTGTTTTTCATGTTAATACAGTAAAGCTTACACTTTGGGAAACAAGAAAGTTTGCACAGTCATAAACAGTTGCACAAGGACTACAAGTTTAAAGTACTACTGCCTCAAAACTTTTGTCTCACTATGTAAGGCAACAGGAAAAGTCAATATGTGTGTGTGCTGGTCATTCATGTGTAGCTAAGTAAATCCTGAGTCACTTACAGGGCTACCACAGAGAAGCTACAGCTGGACCATTTGGGGAGGAATTGCGGATGCACCTCTCGTGTTCATATCCAGCCTCATTATGTAAGAGGCTATTGCAGTACTTCCAGAATTTCCACTGCCTGTTGCTACATGCAAGTTCTAACTAGTCAGAAAGGGAAATTCTGAAACAAACCTGGTAGGACGGTGCTCACCTGGAGGTATCATGCTTTCTTTTCCCTCTTGCTCACCTTTCTATTACTCAGAGCCCAAATGCCACTGTGGATAACCATGTGCTTTTCCATTGAATAACTGGGGTAGAGGGGGTGAATGTCATTAGGAAGGAACTGACCTCTTTCATCACAATTTCATAGAATCATAGAATGGTTTGGGTTGGAAAGGACCCTAAGGATCATCTAGTTCCAACCACCCTGCTATGGACAGGGACACCCTCCACTACACCAGGTTGCTCAAAGCCTCATCCAACTTGGCCTTGAACACTGCCAGGGATGGGGCAGCCACAACTTCTCTGGGTAACCTGTTCTAGTGCCTCACCACCCTCAGAGGGAAGAACTTCTTCCTTAGATCTAATCCACATCTCCCTTCTTTCCGTTTAAAGCCGTTGCCCCTTGTCCTGTCACTACACGCCCTTGGCAAAAGCCCTTCTCCAGCTTTCCAGTAGCCCCTTTAGGCACTGGAAGGCTGCTAGAATATCTCCCCAGAGCCTTCTCTTCTCCAGGCTGAAAAACCCCACCTCTCTCAGCCTGTCTGCATAGCAGAGGTGCTCCAGCCCTCGGATCATCTTCATGGCCTCCTCTGGGCTCGCTCCACCAGCTCCATGTCCTTCTTATGTTGGGAGCTCCAGAGCTGAATGCAGTACTCCGGGGGAGTCTCACAAAATTTGGGCCAATACGAATCTTTTTACTGTTTCTGTCACCCAGCTTGGTATTAAACAAAGTGCAGGAGGAAAAAAGTCTGGGCAAAAGTTTTAAGTTCCTTTTTCCTAAATGGCAAATAAAAGGCTTCTGCAAGTATCCCAGGGAGGGCATTTCAGTAGTTTGGAAAATACTGTTTGCCAAGTGTAACTGCAAGATTTAGAAATCAAAGCTATGGAAATTTAGAAACAAACCCAAACCACAGTACACTATTAGCATTCAGATGCCCTGCAGGTATTATATAGTATTTCTCAATCAGTCACTGATGTCTGCCAGGGGAGGGGCAGGGGCATGTGGACTCTGACATCTGGAGACTGCCTGTAGTGTGCAGGCTGCTACTCAACCCATCCTTTCACATTCCAGTCAGCTAGCACACACCCTAGACAATTTTCTTTTAAAGCAGCAAAGCCCTGCCTTGTTACATTGCAGTGCAAGAGCTGTTTTCATCAACTATGTAATCCTTAATTCAAAGAAATGTACCTTTGACAGCTCATGTTATTTCTTTATCCTTTACTCAAAAGTTGAGATCTTAGAACTGCCTAACTAGCTTGAGTGGGACGCTGCACCCCGATAAAATTTAACTGAGATAGCCAGAGGCTGATTTTGGCTGTCTGTCTGCTATGTGACTGCATTACTACAGCAAGCTTCTCTAAATATAAACGTAGTATTTGAAGTTGCTTTCATTGTAACTATAATAAGGCTTTAAGGAAAGAGAGAAAAGACTAGTTAATAGCATTACAGGAAGGAGAAAAAGGTTGTAAAAGTAGCCTTATGTAAGTCTTCAATTTTGTCCTGGCCAGCAGATAGAACTGACAACACCGCTCAGGTTTTGCTTCCGCAGACAGGCATGAAAAAGCAGAAGTAGGAAGGAAATTAAACATGATTATGTGAATTCATTGATCATTATAGTTATTGCAACTCTCATATTTTCCCCCTTGTTAGAAATAACTGCACAACTCCCTTTACTAGTGATTGCCTTCAGGCAAACAGAGCTTTATTCCAGCTTAGCAAATGCTGACAAATCAGAATAGCAACATCAACACCAAACTTATGAGCTTTTTATGTAATGGTTATATACAAGCTACTTGACATGAAGAAATAACTGAGCTTTGATCCTTCAACAGATTCCCTCACTTCAGAGCCTAGAGATAGTTTTCTGAGGCAGACTCACACACCTGTCCAACTGACAATTTACACAAACCCTTCAGCAAGGCAGACTAATGCATGCACAGCAGGAACCGTAACACTTGAGGCTGAGCTATCTACTACTAGCTACATCTGCCCTAGAACAAGGAAAACACTACAGTTCTACAGTGCAGGATTGTAGTCTTCCACGTATATCTTCCCGACGAAGCTTACTTCTCGCTACTCTGCTTTCACGAATACATGGTCAGCTGCAGCCAGTCTTCAATGGTAATTTTGATCTGTCCATCTCCATCTCGGTCCAGGGACTTGAAGGTCCGGAACATGCTGTCCAGTCGCACCAAGCAGCTAATGAAGTTGTTGAAATCCATGCTACCGTCTTCGTCGGCATACCTGCGCACAATTACCTGGCGGAGTTGTTCGTTCAGGTGGAACCCTGCAGCCTTCAAGGCATCCGGCAGCTGAGCTCTCCCAACAGTGCCTGAGTGATCGGTATCATACTGCTTGTATACGCATTGCCATTTCTTGATGTTGTTCCACAGATACTTAAACTCTTCAAAGCCCAGTTTGCCATTTGTATCATTGTCCATGACGGCTACCATGCTGCGGCATGTGTCTAAGCTGAAGCCATCTGTCTTCAAGTCTTGATGTCTGGAAACCACTTTGTTCAGGATGTCCCTTAGTTCTGTGGCACACACTTCCATATCATCTCCAGCCAGCTGGACAAAAAGGCGACGAAACTGTCTGATCTCCTCGCTCTCATAAGCTTCCACATTCGTAAAATGGCTGTGAGGAGGTGGAGGTGGCTCTGGATTATACTGAGCTGCTGCTTCACTTATAAGATTGACAAGACCTCCAACAAGACCTCCAATATTCCCTCCACGTCCACCTCCTGTTAGGAGACCTCCAAGGCCACGTGCAAGGCTCCCTCCATGACCACTACCACTTCCTCCACTCAGCAAAGCTTTAGCGAGGAACATGGCGAAGGTCTTTTGAATGCAGTTCCTCAGAGATCCAGTGCTTCTGTAACTCTCCGAAGCCTTATTGTCTCTGAGCTGGGCGTGGGCAAAACACAGCTTATCTGCGTGCTTAGACTTCACCATGTCTGTGCATGTCTCCAGCTGCCAGAGTCATCTTTGATCTCAGGAGCTTCTGTCAATTGTAGATACGCCTCCATTCCTTTTCTCTGCATAGTTAGCTTTATATGATTTAAGGAATCCTTTTAGAAAAAAAATAACAATGAGGCTGAAAGCCACAGAGCAGAAGCCTCAAAATACCCGTGCTAACTGAAGCAATTTGAGAAGAGCCTTGCCACATTAGTGTGACTGTTCCTCAGTGAAGCCAATCTTCTTAAAGATGAATGCAGGGAAAGCTTACTAGACTCTTGTCTGTTCTTGCAATCTTTCATGCCTTCAACTTTTTAGTGAATTGAGTGTTACATTGCTAATGCTAGTCACTGACGCTGTTGTGCCAGATAGGGGAAATGAAAGGAGTCTTGATTGCCCTTAATTATTTTGGTTGCCACACCATATTTCTACTGTATATACTGTGCTTCAGGACTCGGACTATGTGTTCATAGGAGCCACTGGTCCAACGTGAGGAGGCAAGAAATGAAGAAAGGATGAGTACCAAGTTCTGCTAGAGCTTCAATGCATTCAGCAATTAAGGAAACATGTTTGACTCTTTCCTATTTTAGATTCTGTAAAACCTTTTTTTATCTGGAAAAATCCTGAAATCGTTTTAATCAGTATATACAATGCAGTGACCTCGCAAGGACAGGTGTACTGCTAAAGCAACTTGATCAGGAAGAGGGACGCTGAGCTGGGAGAGCTCCTAAGCTAAGAAACAAAACTCCGGTTCATAAGCACTTGCAGTACACCACGTGGCTTGTGCTGTAGCACGTACTGGGTGCCTAGAAGTAAGATGACTCTATGCTACGTTCTATTCACTGGCACTTCTGGTACAGTCAGAGTGGCACATCCACAGAGCAATTTTTCTCATCTTCACAGAGAAGTAGAAAATGGGACAGATCGCTACTGACTATGGAGGAAAGCCTAAATGATCAGCTTAACACATAGCCTCCTTTATGGCTGGAGATAGGCAAGAGGAGTCCTCACAGTGTCTAATAGCACCCGTCACAAACACAGCAGGAGCGTACGCTCTAGTCAGCTTCAATCTGCCTTAAATTATCTACTTAAAACTACATCAGTTTATTTAGCTGTCAGACTGTACATAAGCTCAAAATCTGGGGTGGGCAAAAGGAAACATTCAGCCATTACCAGCATGAACATTATCATCTGATGGTGGTGAAGCAACTTGGTCCAAGAGATGGCTCTCATCTCACAAGCTACAAAGTGACCAGCCTTCTTCCATCGAAACTTAAGAAGGAAACTGTAAGAGTCACCTATCTTGCCTACAGGAATTGCTAACCAAGAAGCATTTACTAAGCTGGATATAATGAATTAAATATCCTTTTAGGATGTGATTCTTAACAAAACATTGCCAACAAGATTTCCAGTCAGTTAACCAACTACTCACCCTGTCGAAGAGTAGAAACAGCTCTTTGAGAACATCTGAAATAGGCAGCTTCAAGTACTCTGCAAACTCCTCAATTCCAATTCTTCCCCCTTTGGAAGCACTTGCAATAGCAGCAAAGGTATCCAACTGCTCTCTGACATGATTCCATTTTAGGCTATGCAAACATGAGGGAGAGGAGATATTTCTATACAGCAGATCTTGGGCAAATGGAATTTCAGTAGGAGTTATTACGTGTTCAAAGATGAAAAATAGCCAAACAGAGCATGTGTGTGCAGCATTAGAAATGCTGTACTTCCAACCTGATATTTTATAAATCAGCAATTAAGGACTGCTCCCCCTGGTTATTAATATTAAAAGCAGGCAGTTCTATGCTTGGGTATGTCAGACTTCCTTACAGTAACTTCCCAAATCTAGAATCATCTGTCCAGTAACTAGGATAGTTTAGCAGAGAGCTTTTCGTTACCATAAATTCACACCATGCTCTAGAGTGAATATTTCCTAATTCCAGAAAGGAATAAATCTCCGCTCTATTAACTAACTTTCTACTCAAACACTAGTATTGCTGCAGCCTGAGGAGTATCTGATCTCTCTGCAGAAATACACCACTGCACCTCAGTAAGAATAACCAGGATTGCCATGTAACTATTGAAGATTGTTCCAGGCAGAGTTCCTGAAATGGATACATAGCATATTTGTAATAAGGCAAGATTCACTGTGCACATACTTCAAATCTGACACAGCCATACCGGGTTACTTGATGGAGTTACTGTATGGTTAAGTGGTTCTGTCAAATTCCACTGTATCCAGACAGGAAAAGTCAACACCAGTAGGGAAACATGGCTGCACAGTACAACTAACACTAAGCCCGTGGCTGAAGTCTCAGGCTGGAAAGAAGGTTTTTTACTTCCTACCACACACTGCCTCTGCACCTCCACGAAAGCAGTGTAAACTGGGCTCCAGGATTACCATCAAGTGCCTAAAACAGGCACTGCTCTACCCTCCTCACCTTTTTGTGAGAAAAATCCATAAAAGATTAGAAAAATGCATTTTTCCTCTTGTAACACTGCCCACAAAAATTACCTGGGATTAGTTGTTACTGGGATTTGCCTCATCTCTGATTTCCATAGTTTGTGTATGTGAGTTGTACCCATAAATACACTATGTTACACGAGGCCAAGTCAGTTGTTATGTTATTTAGCCTTTTGTAGATGGCCCTCAACACCTGCAGCACTGCAGTAATTATGCTACCAACAGCTCAACTTCCCTTACTTGAGTTTCTTGCTAATTTTGGTGAACTCCACCAGCCCAGCTTCCATGGGTAAAGTCAGCTGTCCTGCAGAAATCATCAGTCTGCAATCTTCAAAAGTGTGGTCAGTGACTGGCACATTCAAAGCACTGAAATAGAATTAAGAAAAAAGAAAAATTAGTTTCTTACATTAGATTTTCTTTTAGTTGACTGTTTCCGTTCTCTGTCTCAGTTTGGCTTTAATGCTAATATACAAAACAAATGATAATTCATTACGGTACTGCTGCAAGTAGGATAAAGCAATGCATGCCATTTTGGGAACCTATGGAACCATACTGTGAAACTACATTATGGCAGCGTCATGATGTTTTACGATTTACAGTCTTGTAAATACAGCCCAGTAACCTTGGAGAACAAACCACCCGCTTATTCTTGCCAAGCAAATAAGGGAGAAATTTATTGCAGCTTTCCATGAATTGAACATATTATGTTCCAATGTAAGACAACCTTCTTTGTGCTCCATGTAAAAACAATCATGACGTTTTAGTCCTGTATACAGTACCTGGGACTTGACGAAGTTGTACTTTATGTCTAGGATATATACGGAATTGCTGGATATAAAAGAAAAGTTCTCAAAGATTTTATTCACGATCGATTACATACGTTGCCATGGTTTGTCGGACTCTGTTGGCAAAAAGAATGGGATTGTTCTTTTCTTCCTCGGTAGGAACATGAACAGGCAGAAACTGAAAGAGATGAATTAGCCAATCAATTTAATAGCCACCACCTTATTAGCAACATGGACAATTTCTTGTTAATGTTTGGAATGGGGGAAAAACAGGAGAAAAAAAATAGCCATGCAATGAAGGAACTGGACACTAGAGGTCTCAAGCGCCTTGGAAACCACTTGGGCTCCTCTGCCCTAGCCACACAGAGAGTTCGTCCAAACCTGCCTCTTAACGATTGGTAGAAGCTGCTTTAATATGGAAAACTCAAACCCCCAAAGAAGGAAAGTATAATAAATGCATACTTAGTTAGGAAATTAAAGGCTATATTGATAAGAATGTGAGTCTGAAATACTGTACGCTCCTTTTCAAAGACCCTTTATAAGTGATGTTATATACTGGAATAGTGTATGTAAGATTTATGATGTTTTTAAATACACACTGCAGTCTCACCTTGTACCTATTAATTGGATCTGTCAGTATGTGACTGGTAAGTTTCCTGTAAGATTTTATTCCATGATAAAAATGTTAAGAAATCTTAGTTCTGAACTGTAAGTACAGCACTAACCAGATAGCAATATTGTAAAATTCTGGAACTCTAAGCAGAGAGTGAAAAAACCCCAAGAAAACAACCCTGTCTTCTCCCAAACCCAGAAAACATCCCAGATATCTAAGTGGCAACACATGTACTGTTGAGGATTTATTCAAAGTTAACATGTAAGAAGCTGAAGTAGCGTTACACTAAACACGTGCTATAGATGAATTATTATCTAACCTAGCATGAATCAGCATCTGTTTGCTTGCAAAGTAGTGTGTGTGCAGGAGCACTCTGTTCTTCCTACGTCAGCCTACAGCGTTCGCTTGCCGTGCTGTTTACCATGCCTTTTCTCAGTTCTGCTACTCCCCGCTCCGCAATCTTGCCCTTAAATCCTAGAATACAGCAATTCTAGAAAAGTGTAAGGTGTTGCTCATGGTTCATTGGAGGACACAGTTGCTAATTATGTGTCAATATGTTGCTTCAGTTATATGGCACTTGCTGGTGATGCACTCATACAGCGGTACCTGTCCCCTATAAATGCTGTCCATCCCGAACAGCCTTTTAATGTTTGTTTTTAAGGATTGCTGCCTCTTTATGATTAAAAACATTGAGATTATGGCATTGGTTATGTGTCAAATAGCCGTAACAATTTCGTGTTTATAGCTAAAAGTTTTCTCCCCTGTAAAGACAGCAGAGGTCCAGCTGTTCACATGAAAGTTTGAGATTTCATTCCTTCTATAAGCAATTGCCTGCTCCGTTCAAGTCTGACACATGTCCCCGCTTATTACAGCTCCCCTTCAGAAGTCACATAACTCTTAACTTGAGGAAGCACAGGCACACTGTACAGGCACAGAGAACTGCGTCATCACTGGGTGAGATGAAGTCATAACTCTGAGAAGTTTATCTAACATGGGTCATGGTCTTCACAGCGGTCATTACATCGTTTGAGGCTGAGGTCTTGCTCCGACAGCAACCTAAATTTCTGGTAGGTTAAACACCACCTCCAACCCCTTCAAGAAAATGACCTACAATTATTCATAAAACCAGTTTGCCAGAAACCACAGGTGGAGATGAAGAATTTGGTTTCTTGGCCTCCTGAGGTGGCATGCATGACCTCACACACCCACCTGCTTATCTGGTGAAGATTATTAAGTATACGTTCTCTGTCAAACTGCAGTCCTGTAAGAAAAATTCTTCGCAGCTCTTTCAGTAGCAAAACTACTTCTGCTTTTGACTTAGTCCCTCTTCTTAGAGAATCTGCCAAATGCTCTGTCTTTGGAGCCCTAAAACTCCCTGCCAGGTTCACCGTCTAACCTTCAATATCCACAGTTTAACTGTTCGAGTACGACTCGGCATGCACACACACTCCCTTGGACTACAGGAGTACAGCCCTGTTCATGCGCAGCAGGCAGAGGCAGCACAGGACTGATGGGAGTGGAGAGGCTGCTTGCTCACAGTATGGGGTGGCAATGGAAGTGTCCACTCCTAAAAGGAGTAGTCTGATTCCCTCCCTCTGCAGATAAATTTGCCCCTTCTCTTTTTAGAAATGGAAGGACTTCTGCATTGAAATTAGTTCCACTTTGGGGACACATGCTGCTATGAAAGCTGCATCTTTTTTCATGTCTCGGTTTCATCTTTTGGAACATGGGATTTAATTTCTAACAGGCAAGTTTGAGTTCCATTCTGAAGAATGTAAATGAAATAAACCTTCTAGTGGAAGGGCTATGTTAAATATTTCTTGCTCCCATGTGTATAAATTATTTAGATACTGCCTTCTGTATAAAAACTGGAGAATTAGATCTTTAGCACATGTTTTATGAACATAAATGTCTACTGCAGTATACAAGGTGCTCCCTTAAAACGAATTTCATTGTTTCACAAATAAGACCATATTGCTAATTGTTAGTAGTAGCAACACTGCTTGTATTCACAAAGCTTTGCACAACTGTGCTGAATTCTGTTTTCCATATAATTTGCAAAACCTGTCTGAATTTCTCCCATTCCTCAGGTCCCTAAACCAACTTAGTCCACACTGACAGTCCTTTGTGGTCTGGGAGGAATGTGAAGTACATCACTTAAAGGAAGGGATCGAATCTCAGTTATGTGGCTCTTCAGGCTCCCCACTACTGTGTTTTGCATGTTGACTCTGACAGGGAGCAGTTAGAGTAGGTGTACTGATGCTGTGAAGTGTGTATGTTGCTTCAGTTGTCATTCATCTGTCTTTGTACTTTGCAGCTGATTTTAATCACCAAGGGAACAGGTTCATTTTACAAGGCTCGGCTTGCAGAGTCCTTAAGTAGGCTCTTAGTCGCAGAAACCTTTTAGAGTTCAGTCTGGGAAGATGGTGAGGAAGACAAAGGTACTTTGAAGGGAGCAGGAAATGAGAAGGTGGGAAAAAAGAAGTTGTTACCTTTAACAGAAAGTATTAGAATTTTTAGGTTTAACATCTGTAAAATGCATGTGGTGATAACTAGCAATGATTTTACAATGCTTTAAAAATAAAGGCATTTCTGACATTTGTTTTGGGAACTCATCAGATAAGTGATACATAGATATGGACAACAAATCTAAATACATTACTCACCATGATTCCGTTCTTATTTCTGAGACAATGTTCACTAACGGTGACGAATAATGTGAATAATGCATTTACATTAAATAATAAGTTCCCTGGTTGCTGAATCTTAGTACAAAAATATTTATAATTCTTACCTCAACTTCTACTCTTGTGAAGAGCTGACACAGGGTCATTATGCACAGTTCTTTTCTGCAGGCAAGAAAAATACATGTTACTTATTTAAAAACAAAGTATTTGCATGTCAGTAGATGAAACTTTTTAAAGCGTTGACAAAAACACAGCTGATACTGGGCAAGGTTTTTAAGTACCTTGCAGTGAAGTTCCCTGAAATGTTGCTTTCAACAATTTTTCTGCAGGGCTTCTGCATACACCTGCTGCTTGCTCACTGGGGAGGCAACTTGTCTGTTGTCATGCATATGAACAATACTATACAGTTCTTTGTTGAGCAAAGCGTGTATATGTTAATTTATCTTTAAAGAGGTGAATACATACTGGATTTTAAAGCTGTAAGAGCTTTGATTCTGAGAAGTACCTTTACTTTATCTTTTATTCTCTCATCTGCAAAACGGGAGGAGTAACTTCCTTCTGCAGAACTGAATCCAGGAGTTGTTAGTATTTGCTGAGCTGTTTTGTAAATTACAGTACTGTTTACACAAACCTGTTAATGAAGTGTCACTATGTTTGGGACCTTCAGTGCTTTTAGAAAGTCACAAATTTTAGTATCAACAGGTAGGGAGAGGAAGAAACTGCGAAAGAGGATAAGCATAATCACTTCCACTTCTGACTTGTTCTTTTGGAAACAAGAAACCTTCAAGTTCTCTTTCTTCTCTTCTTGTTTTAGACAAAATAAAAAAGAGAGAAGGAAAAGGCAAGAGAAGAATTAAGGGATCTTTTCTACTTTCTGCAGGAATCCACTCTTTATACTTAATTTTCTAACACATAATATCAGGCATTCCTCCCAGTAAGGCACAAAAGTAAAAAAGAAGTAGTAAGTGAAAGCAGAAACTGGGTCAGGATGTTTCTGAGAAGGAGACTGATACTGTCCTATCCTGGCTGCAATATCCAGGAAGTTTACAGAGAATGTGGCAGTTCCGCATTTTGTGATCTGCATGGTTCCACTTAACTTTTGGTAAGAATCTCGAGATTCTACCCCATCCATCCCATCTCTTCCCGTGATTTTGCCAAGCTGTTCTCACAGGTTTCAATTTGTGCCTTCATCATCCAGCCATCAGGCTTAAAGCTGTTCTTAATTTTTAGTGAACGGGCAGCCTCCTTCCTTCCACGAGAATACCTCGGATTTCATTTCTTTCTTCACCTATTCCTGCACCATCTCTCACAACTGAACACATAGCTTCTTTTCGATCTTCCAGCATAAAACCTTCGTAGGGGAGATCTTTTGTATGCTACTGAATTTGCAATATTCAGTACTCTCAGTATGCTGATAACTGCAACAGCAGTAATAATAATAGCAAAAAATTTTTGGGAAACTAAATGAGATGGACATTTTCGTTTAGGTCGGCTTTCATAATGTCCATTCTACAAGCGTGCAGGTGCTAGGATCGACTAATGATGGCTTAAAAGGTGCTTATCATCTGCTCCACTAGTTCAGACATGTTTCAAAATTAGTGCCTTAAAAATTTTTGTCACTTAGTAAATCAGTACTACTGCACTTAGATACACTAAATATTCCACTTGAAAATGTGGTACATGGATTTTGCAAATCTACGTTTTAATGAATGCTTATAAAGTATTTTCCAGACATATTTTCAGTGCAGCTGTAAAGGTTTTTTAATACTTTAATAAAATATTTTAGCATATTAGAAGACCACTTGTGTTGAGAAATAAGCACAGACCCATTGTCTAAATGGTTTATTGAAATATTTTTAATTATTTCAATGTCAGATACTATATATATAGCCTCTTTACTGGGATCTCAAAACAAGTGCTTTTGTTGAGTTAGGCAAAAATGAAAATCTAAAGAAGAATCCTAGATGTTAGATGGGGAAAGATGGGGAAAATTAATACCTGTTTTGCCCATCTTCTTCCTTTACTCTCATATGACTCTTCAAATGAGATGGAGGAATGAATAAACAGAGTGGATAAAATAACATTATTTTTTCTCTTGTTTGTATACTATGTAAGAAACAGTAAACATCTATGGGTTTTGATGACTACAATTGTTCCTCAAAGAGCAAGAACTTCACATCTTTCTTTTGCTCTAGTGTACGCAAAACATAGGAGAAAATTGAACAAAACAGTGACAGAGCTGGAACAATGCCTCCCCATTGCAAACCCTTTCTCTAGCCATTCAGATAGGAAATCTACTGCGAGACAGCACTATCCTCAAGTATTTCCCCCTCTTAAAAACAGACCTAGAAGAACATGTGTCTTGGCTTAGCTGAGTCTGGCAGACTGTTTAGCAATAGGGGAAAAAAATTCTGTATGTAATTTTCAGTAGGATTAAGAAACTTACAGTGAATAGCCCTGCCATGTCCAGGTCACAGTATCCTAAGGAAAAAATAAAACACAGAAATATATGACAAAATCAGGTGAAAGTTAGAGAGCAGATAAATTACAATATAGAAGAACCCCAAGTTTAGTAAAAGCAGATGATGGTTTTAATAGTCCTGTAGTAAAAATAAATAAAGGTGTCCAAGTGACTAGGATTCTTTGCCTTAGAAATCTGGAAATAAGCATGGCAGACTTTTGATAATATGAACAATTGGGAATAAAATTTATATAGTTTCTTAGATATTTTAAATAATTAATGCTGATCCAAGCAACAGAAGTAGGAAAAAATAATCTAGTAAGACTATTCCAGAGGACTTCACCGGTCCCTTTAGAAAGGCACCCTCATAAATATGTGTGATTTAGTTTTTAAGGACATTTCTGCATAGATAATCTATCATGCTTCTTTTGCTTTGCTTTTTTTTTCCTTATTCATGTTTGTTACTTCCTGTATGTAATTTTTACAATGTACACTGCAGATCTTTAAATCCTATCAGTGAAATGCGATACCAGTCCCCTTTAGTGGTTCACTTCACTGTTTCGAAATTGATCTGTAAAAGGATTTTACAAAAGAATCTTTGTAAATATCAACAGCAATAACAATCAAAAACCATTATCAATGGAAGGTTTTGTCGTTTCTGGATGCTCATGTCCCAGCATTGCACCTGTCAGTGAAGCAGAGCCATGTGTCTGTACCCCTGTCCTTGGCAGAAAGTGTAAACAAGAGAAAGGTGCTTGAAAAGAACCATCTGCAAAGCTGCCCTCCTGTGGAGCCTGCAGGAGGGGGTGGTGGAGGCACTTGCAAAGGAGAAACTTCGCAAGCCCCCCTCTCTGCAGTAAAAGTATTTTGAGCTTAAACAAAAAATGGTAACTAGTAGGGAAGTTGTGTGCATTTTAGACTTCAAAGTACAGGCTCTGTGGCTTTGCAGGAAGTTTCTAACTTCCGCTGCAACACTTTCCTGTGCTCCTTCTTACTTTAACATTAGCTAAGAAGCCCAGCAATAAGTTTTCCACAATCAGAATAGCAACTACACTGTGGTGACACTTGGGAAGCCTGGCTGCTTCCAGGAGCTCTCCAATCCTAAAGCTCAGGATAATAGATTCTTCAGTGACAATTATCGTAGGTATCATTTCAGTCAGGATTTTTACTTCTGTGTTACTAGTCAGTGATAGAAGACTGTCCTGCTTACCAGCTTGTTGGGGTATCGGAGCAACACAGGTTGTACAGGGACTTGTGGCACAAAGGCACCTGCAACCACAAAGTAGAATTGATCGTTAGGACTAAGGTTAATACAGGAGGTGGGAGCCTTAAATGACTCATGTCAGATGTGGTATCTGGAAAGAGAAATCTTTTTTAAAGGTGAGAAGAATGAGAACTGGTTGTTTTGCTGTGTTTTTTTTTGTTTGGTTGTTTTTTTTAGGATTCTTTGTGTGTGTGGTTTTGTGTTTGGTTTTTTTGTGGTGTTTTTTTTTTTTTTTTAAATCAGCAGCGCAATTAGCAAGATGTCAGGACAGAAAAGGGCTAGTCTCCATTTCAAGGAGAAAGTTGCCTAAGATTCCTGGACTGTTGAAACTAATTTTCTGTGTATTATCTCCCCGTTGACTGACATTCATTTCAAAGGATTAGATGTTCACAAGGCTGTTAAGCACTTCCTGAACCATTCTCTGTTCTGATCATCTTCGTAAATCATACGGATCTCAGCATGTAGTACTGGTTTTGGATCTTTGCTACCCAAGACACTGTACAACAGTAGGAAAGGAGAGCACCGTGGCTTTAACTGAAGTGCAGCACAACTGTCTAATGATCACTGATGCTATCAAGTACCTTTCTGTGTTAACAATAATCTATTGGCCTTCCTTGCTAAGTGTTATGCAAAGTGATTTCTTAACTTGGTTGCTCAGTCTTGCATGGCAAAATTCACAGGAAACTAAGATGTCATGACTGTAAGTTGAGCTCAAAGAACATCATAAGTAGCATGTATTTTGGTAATTCATTTCATAATAGTCAGTCAAGTTTCTGGGTAAATAAATTAGATGAAAACTGTACCAGAAAAAACCCAACCAACTAACTGTATACATCAAAGACATCTTGCATCCTTCAAAATACTAAAAATCTGAAAAGTAAACTGACTGGTATAAAATAGTAGCTTTAGTGCCACTCAAACTTTAAATGATATAAGACATTACTACAATGTTGACGTTTTAATGACATAAGACATTACTACAATGCTGTTGTGGATGATGTACCTGCAGAAGTATACTACCAAATTAGTATTTCACACAGTATTTTCCAACAAAAACGTGACAAAATCTCTTACCTTGTTTAAATGTGATCAGGCAAGATCGGTTTGTGCAGGTGCCTTCTGGGAAAATCAGTATCTTGGATTTAAAGAGAAAGAAATATATATACACACACACATTTCCTATTTCAGCATCAGTTACACGAAGGCTGACTTTATGCAAGCTCTGTGACATGTCACACTGCATCACAAGAATATCACCACTGTTTCAAAAGGTAACGAATGTATTAGTGAAAGATGCTCACAGTAATAATGACCTGATCTATCTTGATTTGGAAACAAATGCTTTGTAAGAGAGGTGTTCTGGGCAAAGGCCTTTATCAGTTCAGAAACATGGTACAAAAGGCTTTCAGAGTTTCATTTGAAATGTCCAGTGTTGGTAATGATACGAGAATTGTTCTTCTGCCAGCAGCTTCTTATTGAACTGCTGGGTGTATGAACATCAAGAGGCTGACGTGAAGCGTGTAAAGTACTTGAGCATTTGCAGCCCAGATGCTATCAACATGAGCTGCGATGCCAGCTGTGGTGAGATCACGGCTTGAGGGGCAGCCGCAGAAGGCAGAGTGTGGGCTGTGAGGCAGAGCTCTGAAGGCTTTACACGCTACTACATAGCCTCTGAACCTGAATGACTCAGACACAGTTTCTGAATTAGTGTCTGAAAGATAGGAGATGAGATATGCAGTATGCTGCAATGTGACACACTGAATCCAGCTCCCTGTGGAATACAAGGAAGCTTTGTGTTTCTTATATCACTACAGGATCATAAACAGCATTCCAAAAAAACCTCAGCACAAGAACTGGTCTGGATCAAGAGTGTTCAGGGCGTGCTCCCACTTCAGTCCAAATGAACAGGTCAAGGCTAGATGAAAGAGGGCATCATTAGGTCCCACCCAAGAGACATGGGCTGTTCCAAGGTACAACAGACAGCTGCACATACTGATTTACGGTTAGTCCTCGACTATGCATTCTGTAATCAAATCGTTTGCTGGTGCTATGGACACAAAAATGGGTATGTTTCTGCCTGTATCATAAGCCCCAGAAAACAAATTAGCAACTCACCAAAGAGTGAGTACTCATTCCCTCCTTCCTTGCAGTTTTGGTACAGGGTTGGGAGAAGCACTGGTCAGAACCTCATGCTGTTAATAAGCACAAGTGCTGCCCAGCCTATTGTGTTTTGGTTTTAGGTGGAGGGACTGGGGAATCCAGCTACTCCTTCTTTTCTGTTGTGCTGAGCATGCAGCCGAGGCACTCTGAAGAGGTTATGACAGACATCATCTTGTGGACAAGTTTGTCCAAAAATAAAAGAGTAGGAGGAAGGTATGGCCAGGGCACAGGACTAGGAATCACCCTGTGACTGCTGACTCAGTCTTGGAGATTCCCATTTACTTGACTCATAGACTACTTATGCCATAATACATATCTAGTTTTTATCCCAAGTGCAGAACTTCTTTAAAGCCGATTTCTCTTTCCTCCCCATGCTGTTTTCAGCAGAGATTAGGTCTACCAGGGCTTTGCTGGAATCACTTCATCCGTAACAGTTTAGCATCTTATAAGCATCAGTAGTTTGGAAGCACAATATTACAAAAAAAAAAAAAAAAAGCCTTCCTGGCTTTGACATGTGCATATTTAAAATCCTCCACATGGTTGACAAATTTGAAAAAAAAAAAAGTAGGCTCTAAAAATATTTACGGCAGCTTAGAAAAATGCACTTGTGAGTCGAATTAAAGTAACCCAAACACTAACTAAAAAGGTTTTTGTGAGGTGCTTACTAAGTGAAAATGATGCATGAAATGTCTAAGTAGTGCCATTTGAAAAAAAGTGGCAAGTGTTGGTCTTCCCTCAGGATGAGAAGCAGTTACCCTTGAATGTTGTTTCTAGAGAATACCCAGAAAGTAGAGTAGTGCATTCAGCTCCAGCTGCCACAGAGATACCTGCTACTGAAGTCTATTTTTTCATTCGCCTGTCTTAATTTTCCTCAAGAGCCATTCATTGGAACAAAACTGAAGGAGAAGTTAACTTTTCTCAACCATTTAGGAAGTAGCCAAGAATGACTAAACAGATCTTGTGACATTAGCTGCTAAACCAGTCACTTCATTCAGTTTTTCAAGCAAATTAACACCTACGAAAACAAGTCAAGAATTAATTCAAAACACAAAGCATGAGTTTATACACAAATCCACGCGGGATATCTTTGGTGAAAGGTCTTCTAGCACTGGCTGTGTGTGTCCAGCCAGCGTGGCCATGATACTGTATTCGTAGTATCTGAAGGCCACATCAGGCTACAGTCACTGCACCAGAAGAAAGCAGAGAGGCATTGCCAAATGACAGTTAGTAGGTTCACAACTGTTTCACGTCTTTCTTCCAGCAAAGGCTAAAAAGTGCAACAGGAGCTTGCTGCTGAGGAATGACCATGGGAAACAGTGTGCAGAAACAGTAACTATCGCTCCCATGTTAAAATCTTACCACAGCTCAGACCAACCTACAAGTCTTGTTTTTACTGCATTATTATCCTAAAGATTGAATTTAGTTTCAGCTCAGCTATTCTTCACATATGAAATCAATGTTTTAAGCTTAAGAACTGTCCATGCAGGAGCCTGGACAGCCTGGGTTACTCATCTCATCAACTGCTCATCCCCAAACTGTTGTGAACACAGCTCTGCAACATAGCTTCTCACAGGCGAGCTAGCTTGAGAGTACTGGTTCACACATACCAATGCAAGTCATCTGCTACACGGAAGACAGCATGTTAAGCCTTAAACACGGAAAAGAGAAGGTCAGGAGCATCTACATTTTGAAACAGCAAATGGCTGGATTTTAACTGACCCATTTGTCACAACAGAACTCTCTTTGGGCACCAGCCTCTTGTCTTCCTCTCCTAAATCAGTCATATACCTGAGAGCTGACTTCATCTTCGTACCTCAACAGAATCCTGTTCAGCTGGGCAGTCATGGTATTATGATGCACAGTGAATATGGAATATAAATACATGACAGAAGAGTGGTAGTATGTTTATTACCTGTGGCCACTGGCCTCTTGATAATGCCCGCTTGGTTATCTCGGTGACTGTATTCTTTCGTGAATCGGGGTCTTGACGAGAAACTGATACAGGCTGAAGGGAACTTAAAATCGCTTGAAAGAGAGAAAAAATTTTATTTGTCTTATGCTAGCACTTAGAAAACACATGGGTTCAAGGCTCCCTTGTAGCAACAAACCTGTTATTCTCGCACTAGGAGACAGACTCTGCACAAACAGCTTTCAGACTAAATAGATAAGAAGAATATTATTATTGTCCTCATTTTGCAAAACAGGAGGACACAGAAGATAAATCTATGCTGCCAGCTGAGGAGCTTGACAGTAGATGTAAACATGCTGAATTCACCCAAACGCATTCTGCTGCTAATATTGCTGTTATCTGTCACTGAGCATTTCCACACAATTCTAAGACAAAGACTGGACTGGGTACCTGCTCATGGGCCACGCTCAGGCCTCACTCATGCAGACTGCAATCAACAAGTAGTTCGAGCCTATGCTGAAGAAGTAAGATGTCCCTTTTCAGTTACAAAGCATACACAGCTTGTGTGTAAATTACAGAAAAATCCCCTCATTTAGTCAGAAGTCTACATAAGAAGGTATGCATCTACTGAGATGTGATGAGACACCTGGAGAAGAACTATCTTCTATGTCCCACTCCTGTGCTTTTAAGAGAAGGTCAACAATAATCAGTTACTTTGTTTCCTACAAAGATACTTTTCTGTGTTGCCTACTGAGTTTAGTTTTCAGTTACTGTTGGTTTGTTCTTTCAGGAGTGGTAGAGATGTAAGAGACGTAAAGCCAGCTGAAAGTCTACGGCTGATTCTAGTAATAATGCAAACGGGAATTCTTGTTGTGCCAAAAGGAGGAGAAAATAATAGAAGCATGAGTCATCTGATCTTTCCCATACTCTGCATTTCCTTTTTGAGTAACTTCTCTTTTATTCTTTCCTGGTTTGACTCCTATTAAAAAAAATCCATAAGAGTGCCTGCAAGTTTAAACTTATAAATCTGGTATTTTCCAGACTGCTGTAGTTTGGGTCTGTTTTGAAATAACCTTCACTAATCTGTGTTCTACGTTTGTGGGCCACACTGTTAAAAGACAGCAGTTGAACAGATTTCTGAAGCTGCCTACTGGGAGAATTTTACGAGAAAGCTTCTAGTCCTGAACAGTTATGAAACATGCTTTCAATATGAAGCAAATTTAAAGTGGTATTATATTTCATATCTGAAAAGAAACAGTATGCTTTTAGACACTTTGACCAATTCAGAAAGATAACCTGTCCCAGAGATTTCACTGGAAATAATCTGTCAATATCTTTGGAACCTAAGGGTATAAAAAAGTCTGCTCCTAAATCACCTTCAGAGATAAGATTTTTGGCCTCGTGTCAAATTGCTGACTTCTAACATTTTTTTTTTTCATAAATACTTACTGCCAAATATTGGAGTTGACAGGTTCTCTGCTCTGGACACTACTGATGGCATTCCAGTTAGGGCAGAAATAATGGCATCAAAAAAGCTTGAATGAGGAGCTGCAACAAAGATTGGGGCTTCCAGGAGGCTGGCTACTTTTCCTTTTACTTTAACTTGGAAACCCATTACGAAGAACAAGGTACGAGTTAGGCATGAGAGGGTAGTCTGGATCATCCTCCTTGTAAAAAGAAGCACAAAAATATCATCCATCTTGCAGTTAGTATTTCTTTTGTACTTTAAACAAAAGCCTATAAAAGATTTCCTAGTTCTCACCAGCACTGGGGCCAGGCACAGGGTAGCACTGCTATTCACTGGACAGTGTTAGGGCTAAAGAGGAAGGAGTAGGAGTAGGGAAGGGAACATCACCTCTTCATGTTGCAACTACATTATAATTTTAAAGATCAGGCAATGTCCTGCACCTTGCTAAACCCTCCTCCCAGGTATACTATTTCTCTTGCCATATTTTATAGCACTGTAGCATAACACTGTTGTGAGGGGAGGGAGGGTAATTAGCAGATACAGCGTCCTTTTTGTAAGAATTTATGTAACTCTGATACTGCTCTTTCACTATCAGTTTTAAACAAGTAAGATTAAATGACAGTGTTCCCTTACTGGAACGTGCTTCCTCAAAGAGGGCACATTCCAGGACTCTCCATAATCTCTCAGCCTTGCTAGCATTCAGTTCCTGTGTCTCCTCCTCCTGCGTGCAGCTGCAGTGCGTCGCAACTCAAGGGGACTTCGCTGCTCTGCAGCCAGAAGCTGAGTGGCTGAAACTCAGAACGCACAGAGGCAGCTGTAAAATACTCCTTCAAGGGCAACTTAGCTGAGAGAGGAGCTGTCAGAACTAATTTTGTCATAAATTATAGCACA